AAAGACAAGATTTTTCCTTTGTTTACAATATAGCCTTGAAGGTTTGACCTCACTTGCTCTCTCTCACTCCGTGTGAATGAACCTGTCTACCGCGAAGTGAAAATAAATCATTGCAACTGCGATGGCGAGCGAATGCTCTCGACGTTCGCGTCTGGAAATCCGAGGTGCTATTCTCAGCGTACGTGTTCCACGGATTTTCCGAAATTACTGCATAGTTGTACATTACTCCCGTCGACGTCGTTTTGATTCCCCATAATTTGCGGGATACTACGCTGTTTTCAATTTTTTGTCCAAGTGAGAGGTAAGACCAAATACACCGAAGTACTTGATTCAAATCATTCCCTTATTTCTGAAAGTAATCTTTCGGATTGTATAGTGTTGAGGTTATAGATGAGAAACAAAGAGCAATGATTATACGGCCGTGTTTCAGTTGTTGAGCTTCGAGTCGTGATTTTAGTGAGGCACATGCGACGGGGGAAAATCAATTGCGTAGCGGTACGAAGTTAACCGGATGATGCTTCGTCGCACTCCTGTGGTTATTTCCGTACCATTCCCACATATTCCCTGGACGAATTGCCTTCAACCATAGAAATTTCAGTCCCGCGGCAAGCCTGTCCCGTTTCTTGACCCAACCCGTGGTCCTAAGCTTGTGGGTCCCATGTTCATCGGTTCAGTAGATGGGGGAATCTCGTGTGAACAGTATACCGATTTCCGTGGGAGACTGAACAACGATACGAACTGCGAATTTCGGTCTTCACGAAATCGCACCATGCTTGAGTGAGTTTGCCAGAGAAACCGATGGTATTTTTGTGATATCAGGATGTCGTTAATATATTTTTCGCCAAACCGCGGACTCGAACAGCGATCAGGGAGCTGATGAGCGCTTAGGAACTGCGCCGTCGCTTCATGCGATGATTCTACAGGAAAACTTCTATCTAAAAATGTTGAAATCCTCACTCTGAGCGTATGATCGGAAATTGGAGATTTTCATGTTGCCGATTATCGGTGCCTAATCGATTACCGTGCCTAACTCTCAATTTAGTGAGTGACAACGTGATCTTGTTGACTGTTTAATTTAATTTGAAGTAAAAATCCCAGTGGATTCACATCGAAATTTGCAGGAATTTTGGTTCAACCTGTTATTAAACGATTTAACAAGCTTTCCGTCCCTTTATCAATAGTGTATTTTCAATTAAGTTTTTGATGCTCTGTGATACTGGACAGATGCTCACAATCATTCATCCGCACTATCGAAATAAACTTTCGGTTTCACAGTCTGAACTGTGGGAAAAATTTACCATTTCGTATAGTAATTGCTATTTCCTAGTTAAACTGATGGATGTGTTTTCGATACGTGCCACAAATCAGGAGCAGTTTTCTTATACCGTATTTTTATTTTTGACAACGAACCAAGAACGCGCACGAGCGATTTGCTAATTAAGCTCAGTCTCTCGTGTCGTTGACGAAGCTTGAAGCACTTCCGATTTCTTCGCGTCAGACAAATGCTATCTTGTGCTAAAGCCTCTTTTCCTCGTTGTGGCCTGTGCCAAGTCGCGCTTTGAAATCGTTTCGCATGTGGGGAAGAACGGAAACCGTGTATTCAGTAGTGCTCCAACTGTTTGTGAGGGCTTGTGATTTTTTCTTAGCAGAGTTAGGTTCAACATCCGGTGCTACTGTCTCGGTCGTTCCCAGTGAATTACAGCTTCTCAAGTCGAGTTCATATCCCCGTATATCGCAGTCGTCGACTGTATGACTCGTGTGTTATTTTTTTCCTGACCCATTTAAAGCGACGCTAAAATGTATGAAAGAGAAACTTTATTCCTTCCTGGTCGGAAAAGTTTCGATGTAACGGGTGTTCATTCTGTCGTCTAATAGAATCGATTTTTCCTAATTGTTTCTCTATTTAGTAAAAGTTGTGTTCGATCTTGACGATCGAAGTACAGTACAACATATTGTCCTGAAACTCAAAGGGTCATCCTGGACGAGAATTGCATTTTTGCATTTTAATAAAGTTCTTCATTCTTCCGTTGGATAATTATTAGAGATTAGAACTTTGACTTTCCGATCTTCCACAATTTATTATTGAGCGAGAACGAGGATATACAATTTCAACCTACAGTACTTGATTTCTAGTATAAATTATCCGGGCCGATTATCCAGTCGTGACACGTTCGAGAGTTTAGTGGAATGTCGGAAGTTTCTTATCATTAATTATTCACTCATCTTTTTCCGCTTGATTATAATTGTGCTTATTCGATTTTCCGCGAAATTGTATCATTTGTGCAATCCGGATAAATGAAGTTTTACTGTGATTATAAACGAAATTGCGATTTCCACTGGGTGAAAAATGTGGATTTTAGAGTTTTCTTTTACGAGAATGCGAGGAATGTTCAACCTTTTCCCACTGCACGAAAATCATTATGCAAACGTTTAAAACTCCGTATATTTGCTATCAACTGTGGGAATCCTTCTGTGGAATTTTTGGAAATCTTGCATTTTTCGAGCAATTATTCGGAGTAATATGGAGAAATTTTATCAATCCTTGAATCATGCAGATTTTTATTTTTCTTTCAACGCTAACAGTGTGCATCAACACCAATTTCTACAACTTCATATCAAGAGTGTTGTTCTCAAACAAACAAACAAAAATTCGTTCGCTGTGACAATCGGATTTTCAGATTTCTGAGAATCTTTCATGATGTTGATTTCGATTGAAGAAAACACTTTTTACGATCGCAAGTTGATGGGGATATTCGAGTTAAATCCAAGCTATGCTTTGTAAGTCTCCACCCGTGTTTCTGTAGGAAGGAAAACATTTTGCAAGCCGGAGTTGTCTGGCTTCATGTCACCTAATGCTTCGAAGAATGAGATGACGACAGATGCTCAGTATTGTATGTAAAACCCCGGGTCACTGTGCCAAGAAAGTGAGGCGACGCATTGCCCTCGTCGAGGGTGGATGGTTGGCCAGAGCCAGACGCGAAAATTTGGCTTGTGATCTCAGCTGTCGCGGCAGGTGAACTTTCCACACGTTGCGAAAACAATAAAAGTCGAGTATTTTTTTTTCTGCGGGAGACAGTGCGTAAAGTTTAGGTGTATGGGTGTCTGTCCAAGTGCACTGGCCGAAAATCAAAAGTTTAGCGAGGAGTTCGTCAAGAAATATTATCCTCCGAAACTGAAGCCTCGCAGGAAGTATTTGTAAATTGGGAGTCGGGTTTCAGTGGTTAACTGGTTATTTTTTCGGAAATACGCTGAAAATACCCATGTGTAATCATCAATTTGCATCGTTCTCTCTCTCAGGATTTCTGTGTTCTTTGGGTGTTTCTAAGAAGCCATGCGAGTCGATAAAAAAATGTAATAATTAATCGCTGGCGGATGAAACTTGAGGATTGATTTAAATTTTTTGCCGGTTTGTAAGAAGATTTGCGTGAAATTACAAATGATTAAGTTGAGAGAACGTTCAAACATGATTTTGAAGCCTTTGACGAAAGGAAAGCCAAAGGAATGCCCATGCTATGAGCTAACGGGGTATTCTCCAAATTTAGTATTTTTTTGTCAAAATGCTACCTTGTTATCATATGTCTTCTTTAGTAGCTGCTTTCAAAGTGGGGACTATTTTCTCCGTGATTCACTTCTTTAGAACTCGTCATTCTATATATTTTGCATAAAATATTTAAGCTGGTGAAATATTTTGCATAAAATGAAATTTTTCGTATACAAATTTACAAAGCCATATTTCAAGTTTCGTAACATTTAAGATTTGAACCCCGAGCCGTTTTCGAAGTTTTGCATTTAAATTTTTGTGACTGTGACAGCCTCCCTAGAAAGTCATGAAAAAATTAGCGCGAGCTCCGTGTAGAAAATCCCCAGGCGCTGAAAATGCATTGGGTTTTATTGTTTTGAGTTATTAAGCTACAAGTTTATGAAGAGAGAGAGAATGAGATTTTTAATGCCAAAATGCAGATTCGTTGAACCCCTTTTTCGTCAATCACGGATGACTTCCTTGGGCGTTCTTTTGCCACCCGGTGCTTTTTATTCATAGCTCAGTCTCCCCGTTGGTTGCCGGGAGTAAAACGCCGGGTCGCGTTCTTCCGGTTGCCAGTAGTCTCCGAGGTTTTTTCAAGCCCCAAACGAAAGATAAACTCAGCTGACGTGAAGGTATCTTGTGTCATTTTTCAGTGCGGAACGCTTTTCGGTCCATTTGCCGCGACTTGGGTAATTTGCTTTGCACTCTGATTAGCTGAATGTTTTTTTTTCACCGCATTTCTCGTTGTGAGGGACTGAGAGGTTTCTTTGCTGAACTTCCGATGAACCCGGAAGTTCGGCGACCGCTGTTTGCAAATCAAGCCCCCCCCCCTTCTCGGAAAACGATATTCGATATCCTTGGAAAGGCTTCCCGTCGAGACAACGGGGGATTTTCGGGTTTCACGTGATCTGGCACAGAACTTTAGTCAAATTCAAAAATTTCTAGTACTATGTAAGGATTATCTTGGTACCAGGTATACTATAATCATGGATATTCCTTTTCAGTACGCTGAAAAAGTCTTCTCAGTTGAACAATTTGAAGGTTGAAGGAACGATTTATGTCAGCATTGACTCAAATAATTTATGGTATAAATCGAATAATCGTGCAGATCCATTTGAGAAATCTCAACTACTGTAAATGAGAAAATGTACATGTTTGCCATGAACATTATACGCACATAAATAAAGGATCAGTTGTACATATTGAGCTTGGCTCAAATAAAAAATCACATGAAAACGCAATCAACTAATTTTTGATTATGTGACTCCCGCTGTGGTGATATGATCGCTTATGGATCATGCGAAATGTTTCCTTCTGCTGATATTCGCATTTTCGGGAAAGTTCAGTTTCAACAAATCTTTTTTCGGAAGGGTGCATTGAATGCATTGATGCATTGAATTTGTGCTTAACAATAGTTTCGTGCCTTTTTTATCCACCCGTTTCCGTTGTGTGCCTGCCGAAACGAGACCCGATTATTTGCAAAACAAAGGAGTGTCTGTATTTTCTGTTGAAAGTTTTTTTTTCCCTCCAAGGTCTTCGCGAAAACTTCGTTTCCTAGCTGTTCTTTTCTTCCATCATACAAATTACAGGACGGCTATAAGAATGTTTCGAAAACGGAAGAAAAATCACGCACGCTTTTTCGCAACGAAAAAAAAAATCACGATTCGCCCCCACCCCCGTTTCTGTGGCTGCTGGTCCGAGGAATGCGAGCGGAAGGAAGTTTCTTGGCGTCATAAATTTGTGACGTCGGAGTTCCGTAGCTGTGGGTTCTTCTTCTTTTTGAATTCTCCCTCAGTCTTGAAACTCCTACTCAAACCCAGACGCGTTTTCTTTTCGGCGGCCGTTCTCCGAGTTCTGGAGTCGGGGCGCTTCTCACCGTCGGATTGCCTGGAGGAGTCAGAATAAAATTTGGAATTACTGTAGTTTTGCTTTTGGCGCTGTAACGAAATCAAGAAAGGGTTTTTGGTGATAATCGAAAAATTATAATTGATAATTATAATAAATAATAGCCAAATTGATAATTTGGCTAATTTTGTATCAAATAGTAAATATATCGCAGAAGCCCCTAAGTGCAGCAAAGAAATGCGCGCTTCTTTCGTAGAAATTGATATTCAAAAATTATTTTGGAAATCTAGCGGATCTGTTTCTGCTTCGCCGGTGCGAAGTCATGCTCAGATTCAAAATGAAGATTCGGACAGACGCGTAGTTCGCGGAATGAACCAATTGGAGTCTGTGTGTACTAAGGGTTGGGAATGAGACGAAACATTTGCCCCATCATGTTTGTCTCTGACCGTGACTCTTGTTTTGCGTGGTGTTCTTATTTTCATTGTTATCCTTGTAATAGAGGAATGTATGAAAATTTAACCTGGAACGGAGAAGGGGGAAACATCTTGAAATACGGGAATTTTTATATTTACGTCTCTCATCGCCTTAGTGCTTATTTAAAGTGATACGAAGTCGTCCAGTGCTCATCAGAACAACATAACTTATTCGAACCATGATACGAAAACGGTATGGGCTTTCTTTTTGATTTTGACCATGACTATCTTGAGCATACGTATTTTTTTATTATCTTGATCGGCGATAATCAATTAATAATTTACTGAAGATCACAGCTTTTAATTTTTTAATATGTAGAACGGAGGGGGAAACAAATCTTCAGTATCGTGAATATTTTCAGCATATGATTGAAGTATTTGTACCTATCTTACAAAAACGGGGACAAAATCTGAAGAGTGCTTACATGATCGAGTATTAACTGCTCTGACCATAGCAGTCGAACCTTTTCACGCCGAACTTCGTGGGACCAATAGAAAACCTTAAGTTATTGAGGTTTCGATTTCGAGAAAAAAAAATTCGGGGAAAGAAAGAAGAATTTCCGGAAATTGTAATTGGTGATACTGTATTCTGGGCCTTACATTGCTGAGTGAACAGGGTACCGAACTTGGAGGCAAGGGTTCATTTTTCCAATTACTGTAGTTTTTCACTTCTTTTCAAAATGCATGAAGTTACATTGCCATTCCCATTGCTTTTCTATTTCCCTTGTTAGTAAAATAAATTTTCGGAAAATTCGAGTTATGAAGATTTGAGGATGGGAAAAAAGCCTTCAATTTTGAGACGTTTTTCAATGCATAGTTTCCAAGGGAATTCAGAGAGACTCGAAAAAGAAATCGACATCGTGAGGTATTTGCCTTGAGTGGGGTTTGAGTTATCGATATTCTATACAGTGATAAATACCGTAATATGCGTGAATATGGTTCATGGGTACTACGTACGTCGCTGACAGAGTTTGCCGTACCAACCAGGCTCGCACTTGCACCGGTTGTTGCCGACGCAGTAGCCGTTGCGGCACGGGCGGCGGCACTCGGCCTGGCGCAGCTGTTTGCGGGCGTGCGCCGCCGGCACGTCGATTTCGCAGTGGGCGCCTCGGAAGCCCCATGGGCACCGGCACACGTTCACTCCGCGGCAACGCCCGCCGTTCAAGCACGGAATCACACATTTACCTACGACAGCGGAAGAAAAAGGTAGAGAGAGAGAAAGAGAGAAAAGAAGATTAGCTTGGAGGAAACTGCTCATTAGCCCCGCTGACAGCGCGTGGGCCCCCAACGAGAAACGAGCTGGACGGATGAGAGGAAGTTAACGTGGCGAGGAAGTTATCGTGTTGCTTACTTCTTCTTATGTCCTCATTTTAGTTTTATTTGTTCATGAAATTGACTATGGCAAGGGGTGCCTGTATGTCTCACGGACTGACAGAAATATGAGAAGACTATTGCTTCAAAAAACCGGTCGACCGGCGTTTTCTCGGGATTTCGATCGACGTTCAAAAATTTCCACTTGAGCGTTTAGCTGAAAAATTTTTTAAATTCAAACTGGGAACGGTGACGGTCAATTGAATTTATGATGCAGGGACGATTCAACGAAATTTCAGGAACTTTTCGGAGGCCTGCAGATCGACAACATCTGCTTTCAAGTCTAAATTGCGCGTGTGTAGGGGGAATAGCGACATCTAGCTGAGTACCATAAAAAGACAGAAAGCTCGACTCACTGAATTCACAACGAGATCCGTAGAAGCCTTTGGGGCATAGGCAAGTATCCTTCTGTATGCATTTCCCGTTGTTCAAGCACTTCTGCTGGCAAATTCCTGGGGGACAAGAAAAAAACATTAGTAAAAATTCAATTTTCCCCGAGGAGTTTGAGGGGATATTTTCGTTGCATTTTCTTGGCCTGGAAAATGAATCATGTTGCACATGCGCAGAAATGAGGCGAGCATTCGTGAATATACCTCCATTGCTGTGAATCAGGTTCCGGTAAATGTCGATGTAAAAATTGAAAGCAACGAAGTCAACAAAAAGAGGTATGCAAATTTTTCATGGAGCTTCTGAGAAAAAGATTCAATTAGTTGAAACCAGGTAAACCTAAAGCTAATTTAATCGCATACATCAACATCATGATCAAGAATATGTCGCACATAGTAGACTGCGTTTCAGCCTGTGTAATAGATTCGAATTCGAATATTTCCAACGTTGGCCGGATATTTTTAAAGCAAACGTTCATCCGACTGAGTGAATAATCGATTAAAGACGCGTGTTTTAGAGACACTTGTTTTTTTTCTTTTCAAGTGAGGTCATTCTGAAATCGAAAAAAAGTATACGATTTAAAAATGGCCATGAAATTAGATGGGCTCTTAGGATTGTGAAGTCTCCGAGTATGAACTTTAAAAAAAGATGGCTTTCGCATTCCATTCGGTGCATTACTGACTGGGCTCGACATGAACCGGCGCCCGTCGTCAAACAGACGGACGGGTTCGATTGTCCACACCGCGGATGTTCCATGACTGAGTTCGCTCGGGGGCAAGATTCGACATTGACGACCACGAATTTCGGATTTAAATAGAGTCTCGCCGTTTTCAAATTATTTTTCGTCGTCTTTTACGTACAGCTGTCGAACGGATGTGCGTATCATTTACCCGGTTGTGATCTACACTTCGATAATTAGCGAGGGAAAGCGCGGGTGCGACGAAGTCTTCAGACGTGGCTGGATTGACTTAGAGAAACTGTATATTCTAAATAATGTATCGTATTTTTAATTTAGATTTTGTATCGATTTTGAAGATGGGACACAATTTTCATGGTTTGAAATGCTGAAAATGGAGCATTTTCCGATTTTGAACTTCCTGTCATCCCGAAGCAATATAATTCATATCTAGTATGACGATCTGGACGAAATGTAATTATTTTTTGTAATTTTTTGGGGGCAGTAAGGCCTTTTTCTTTTCAAAAATGAAAAGTCGTGGGGAATTGGATTACGGAATTAGCTATGCCTATACTAAACTGTCTTCTGGCCTCGTGTAAAAGCATACATTCGCAAAATTTCTTGATTCGAAAGAAAATTAAATTTATCGGTTTCACAACTTCAGATTTTCATGCTTTAATTCACTTGAAGAAAACGAGAATAAAAATCAGACGTTTTCAATCGTCGCAACTTTGAAAAGAAGGGGGTTTTAGTTAATGTATGCATTTGTATTTTACTAATGCTTTTCAAAAAGCTTTGGACATTGACTGTCAATCTGAATCCCTAGTTTTTAAGTCATTCATTTGAGCTTTTCTTTGTCAAAAGTTTTGTAATATTGCCCTGATTTCGCGTCTATTATTCGCAGAATTTCAAAACATTTATGGTTTTAAAAAATTCTATGCAAATTGAAGATTCTTGTTTTTGGTGAATTATTAATCATTACTTTTGTAGGAAATTGTTTCCCAGGAACTAAACATTCGAAACAAATTGCAAACGAGTGAACTGAAAGAACGCGGGTACTTATTTTATATCATTAAAGAATCGTTTTTTAACAATGAAGTCGGCATTTTGTCGATGCCATCAGTTCGAGTCGTTTCCCAAATTTGTTTTCTCTCTTTGAAACCGAGCGCTGATGTCATCGTCGGATAGCCAGACAGTTGTTTCTCATTTAGATCTCATTCCTCGTCGACAAATCGCGTTGAGCCTAATTAGACTGTTCGTCAGGCCCAACGGAGCATCGCGGGATCAAATCCTAATTAAACTGTTCCCACCACAAAGAGTCACAATCCCCGAGCCGCTGGATCAACTAGGAAATACAAGCATGCTGCATTTTAATTGAGCGACCGGGTCGAAATAATTGAACGACTTTGCTGTTCGCGAACAAAGGAAGTATTCTTTCACCAGACTTGAAATGTCATTATTCGATGATCTCTCTCTCATTTTTTTGTATTCTTTACGTTTCGCGACTTGAGAAGAAGGAAGTTTGATCCGGCATTAAGGATAATCTCAGGTAAGAATCGAGTCTTGTCAGTTGACGAGACCATCCTAATTGTTGGCTTGTTATTAGTCCAAAGCCTTTTTAAAGTCGACTTATGCGGCAGGCAGTAATTTATTGTTTGTTCGAAGACTTTGCGTCTTGACGAGGTCAAGGCGTATTCTTGCGATGGAAAAACGGATCCGTGTTTCTTTGGTACATTGTTGCCTAAATGGACTCTTGATGTCGGCGGGAGTTTTCAGACTACCTTTTGACATGAACCGATCCGGCCATGTCGCCTTCGTTGCACGACAGGCAGTACTTGGGAAATTAATGGACTGCGGTCAGAGACCTTGTTCACCTTGTCAGTGCACATCTATGGAGTAATTCGATTTGCTTGTTCATTGGGGGCTTTCCGAGAAACGGGGTTGCCGACGAAGAAGTACTGTACTTCCCCGGGAGAGGCTCAGGGAGAACATGGTTTGGTTTAACCTTCGAAACATTTTCTGCTTTTTTTCTTCTGGACTCCTTCGACGTTGGTCCATGATATATTGAGCTTTAAAAGTACGGAAGCACTAAAGAAGATAAATTCGAGTACTGGTCATCGGAAACCACTCATGTTTTGACTTCGCGTAGGTTCGATTAAAGTAAAGAAATTCCCACATGATGCGTTCATGCCCACGTTCTTTTCATTTTTCTGGGGTTTTGACGTACTGTATTTTGATTTCATCGACATACAATTTTTGTCCCAGTGAATTCGTTCTTTAGGTGGAAAACGTATGTTATTCAAAATATTTTCATGCGACAACCGATCAAAAAGTACTCAAGGAAATGAATTCTATGGAAGTGCCGCAGGATTGGTTCTTACCCCCGTTATTTTCGTATTTCTTTTTCGCTCGAAGTAGCGCTTTAAATGTTTTGCTTTCATTACCGTGCAGTGTGTCCCAAGTAAATTAATCCTTTAGATTATGTAATGTTATTCAAATATTTTCCGTGTGACAGCTGATCAAAAGCACTCAAGGATATACATTTTCCCACTTCTATGGGATTTTCTTCTGACAAGCCAATGCAGAATCTAAGTGCTATATAATGTAAGAAAAATTACATGTCGATTCTGCTTGTCTTGAAATGTGAATAAAGTACTGTACGAATTACTGAAATCCTACTGGTCTTTGGAATAAAATTTAATCCGAGTTACTTCGAGTTCTATGCGCTTCTTTGCATCCAACATGTATCACTCGATGTAAAATTATATTGCTGATGCTTTTCAGAAGACGTTGTGCACAGTAGGAATTAATTATTTCAGATGATTTTTGATTTTTTTCAAAAATAAGATTTAAAAGACCTCACCTCCTTCGCAGTGGTTGCCGTGGAAGCCCGGAGGACATGAGCAGACGCCGGGTTTCGTGCACGAGCCGCCGTTCATGCACTGGGGGTAACAAAGCGCCGTCGTGCAATACTGTCCCATGTACCCCTCGGGGCACTGGCAAATTTTATCGTGGTTGCACCATCCGCCATTCGCGCATTTCTTGTCGCACTCGGGGTCTGGACCCACTTCACAAACGGTACCATCGCAGCGCACCAGAAGATCATCACCGTTTTCGGGGGTTTTTCAGTTATTAGATCGTGAAACATGAGAGAAAAAAGCGAAAAAACGAAACGTGAGATCAGGGATTTCCGTCGGAAAATTTTCAAATGAACCAACAGTCTTTTTCTCTGATTCTAAAAGCTTATTTTTAGGGAAACGATTCATTGGGATGAAACGATGTTCCAGCACGGTGTTAATTTGAGCTTATAAATTACTCTCTGAGGAAAAAAAATTGTATAAGTTGCTAAAGCTCTCGAAAGTTGCGGGAATGTGTGTACAACATGCACGGGACATTAGAATAATTTCCTCGCTCTTGGACAATCATTCAGATGATACAACTATTTCATGATTTAAGCGTGAATAATACAAATCTGCTATAACCCATGGGTAATCTGGGTTCTGCTGTACGAGTATCCATGAAACAACTGACTGCAAAATTGAATTTCTGGCTTGTGTATCACTTCACGGACAAATGGTTTTTGATAGTGCAGTTAAACCTCGATAAATATAACTTCCCGAAGTCGATATCTTCCCTATTTTGAATTTTTTCCGAGTCCTCGTCTGTATTCGCTTCAGAAAAATGCATTGAAAACCTCTCTAACTTGAAGGTTTTCCTCTTCAAACGTGCTCAACTCGAATTTTCTGGAGGCCTTTTACTTTATTGACGCAGGAAAGATCAAAGAAATGAGAAATGTAACTTTATAGGGGTTTTAAAAGGAAGTGAAAACACAATTTGGCTAATGAATGCTTGCCTCCAAGTTTAGCATCATGTCAACTCATTTAAGAAGTAATTTAAGTCCCGAAAGGTCACCATGATTCAATTTTCTGTAATTCTGCTTCCTTTTTGTTTCCCAACGCAAATGCTTTGTTCTCTCTCGAACTCGAATTTATTTCGCTTGTCTCTTGAAGTTCGGCTTGAAGAGGCTCATCTGTAATAGTTTTCGCTAAAAGTTCGACACAAGCAGATGTACTCACCCATTTCTGTGCACTCTTTTCGCAAACGCAGTCTGAGAGGAGTTCCTGGCAGCGCTTTTCCTTTCCGCGTTTGAATATTGAGACCAATGCTGAACCCCGCCACGCCCGTCGCATTCCCCGAGCACGGCAGCAACACAGAGAACGCTGCAAAGAAAACCGACGCTTTTATTTTGCGCAGATGGGAAAGAATGTCTCCCCGATCATTCCTGGAATTTGAGCTGTAGACGATGAACAAGATTCTCCAGCTTTGAGTGTAATTTTTCACCCCGAGTTTTGGATTCTTGCCAGCGTAACCGCGTAAAAGAAAATATCAGCGCTTCGGAAGGTTCATTTTGCATCTGAAAGCAGTCATATTCTGAGCGCTTCGAACATTGCGCTGTTTCACATAGAAACTGAGTTATCCGAACGTACTACAGTTTTCTTTATTTTTCTTTCAATTTATTGCTGACAGTCAACGATAACCAAATTTCCGGAGAGGCACGTTCGAGTTCATCGCCTGGTTTCGTTTAAAACATCTTCCTTTCGATCAATATTTGTCTGATACTCGGTTGTTGGAGAAAAAAAAAGGGGGGGGGGGGATAGATTTTCGTCTCGAAGGAACAAGAGACGTTCTACACCCGAAGGATAAAGAAAATTACGAGAAAAAAAAACCTACATCATCACTTACTCTTTGGTTTCTTCGGCACTCGGCCCTTCCTGTCCACAGACACGATCGGGGATTCAAGTATGCGCTCGTCCGAAGACTCTAGAAGCTCGAAATGATAAAAGTACTTGCGACTCCCGGATTTCCACGTAAAGTTTACGTAGCCGACCTGGGCGAAAAGCAGAAGAAAAAGTACGAGAGAAAATTAGGAGAATGTCCCAGGGTTGTTTGGTTTTCCACAGCTCGTTCCGCGATGCTCACCGTCGATGGGATCACAGGCAGGTAATCCTCGAAGTTCGGGTCCAGAATATACGGCTGGACTTGCCCGTTTGCTATGGCGAATATCTCCATTTCATATCCTATGAAAATAAAAATTAAACGAAAAAAACTTCATTTTAAACGTAAACTTTTCCAATTAACGCCTTTTATAGAGAGACACTGCGAACAATGATTAAAATTCTTTCGCGTAGTCAAAAATTATTAGCTTAGTGATTAAGTTGGGCTCTAATAGAAACGCCATAAAACAATTACTTGTCGGTCCCCTAGGAGTCGTTGTACGAGGGGTCGTTATAAATTCTCATGACTTGGGATCCCCTATAAGAAAAACAAGTCTTGTCTCGAGGAAAATTAATAAATATATCCTACATTTCGAGGTACTGTAATATCGATTCGATTGCGAACATTTTTTAGGATTTCTCCGAGGAAAATTTCTTGGGATGTACACAAATTATCTTCGTTTTAATGTAAATAAATTCGATGAAAATACTGAAAATTTTGGAAATAATGGCTTTATCCAGGAGAAATTCGATTCCAATTTGAAAATGAAGGTATCTATGAGGAAAATATTTCTTCTAGCTCTTTTCCAGACCATGTCGTTCAAAAAATGTCTTCTAATCAGCTCCTTCTTCGGAAAAATTTTCAATTTGATCTTGATATCGAAGTTTTGAAAATGTAGTCATGTAAGGTTCGCCAAGAATACGTTTTTGAACTTTTCATCCAGAAATTGCGGTTTAACCGCAAACGCACCATCAATAGCTATCGTGTCTATTTTTTTTAGACAGTATTTCGACTCGAAATAAGAAGGCCTGGAAATTTCAACGTATGCCAACATTAACTTGAAAGGACTTTGACATTAGTCCCTCCGTGTTGCAGTTTGACTGGTCTATTTTTCCTCGAATTTCCCTGTCGACGGTTGAGTTTTGACTTGCATCAGGGTGAGGACAAGAGGGGGAAGTCGTGGAATTCCGCTCGTCTTATTTTTATTAATATTCCGTCTACTGCGTGCCGGCATTCCGATAATGCGCCGACACGACACGGCGAATAGAAGGAAGCCAGCCTTTCTTTCGCGGTTGCCTCGGGTGAGCTTCGATGTCACAGGTATCTGGCCTCTGAAAGATTGCCGGATAAATCGTGATTTTCGTGGATTTTAATTTAACCGGACACGACGTTAATTGAGTGATGGAATCGATCAGTAGGTTTTTTTTAAAGAAGATCTGGTTTGATTATTACGCCGCAAAATAGAGATTAACGAGCGAGCGAATTCATTGTGGAGCCTGACCTAACCCCAACGATTTGTGTGTTTGTTTAATAAACCGAGGCACATATTTTGAAACCTTTTTTTAAACTTTCGGACTTTTTCTTCTCGGTTGCAAGCAAAAGACGATCATTTTTCATAGGCTGTGATAGTTGTTTTTATTTTTTCTTTTCAGCCGCGGATTCAAGGTGCGCGTACAAAAATTGACACCTTTTTTTTTTTTTTTTGTACGGTTGCAAGCAAAAGACGATCATTTTTCATAGGCTGTGATAGTTGTTTTTATTTTTTCTTTTCAGCCGCGGATTCAAGGTGCGCGTACAAAAATTGACACCTTTTTTTTTTTTTTGCGAAGGTCTGAGTACTTTTCTTCTCAGTTGGAAACGTCAACAGCTTTTACGACTTTTCTCTCCCGATATTGCCGCGTGCAGCCGTTCGTCATGCCGTTTTTTACAGCTTGAACAAAAGAATTTTTCTTTGACGGGATGAAACGCGTTCGACGTTGGTAATCGATTCCTTCTTTCGGGCACTCCTTCCACCGTGTCGTGGTCCGTGGAACACGAGAAGTGGATTAGGTGCTCGACTTTATTTTATTAATTAATTCATCCGCGTTTTCTCAGTGGAACTTTGCATATTGCAGCTTTTTTTCATTTCCTGCCTCGCGTCGATCAATTGCGTAACGTTTTCCCGAAGAAATATTGGAAGAGGCTTTGAATCCTGTGCCTCCGAAGGGATTTTCGAGTACTGTAAAAGTGTACAGGATTCTCAACATCGAAAGTGAATGACGGGAAATATTCATCTGCGAATCGTTCAATAGCAAGCCTACGCAAATAATCCGCAAATTTATTTTATGGCCTGATTTTGTTATGAGAAAGTTAAATATTTCGTTATTTTATTATTTTCTGCGAATTTTTCCTGGTTGCTACTTTCTTCAAAGACCTTCGCCAAATGTATCTACAGCTTTTCAACAAAAAAATGCGAATTAAAAAAAAATTCTGGTTTCCACGTTGCTGATTGAAAGTTAACCTGGATTTTGAATCTAACTCGCACTCAAATGTATTAGGGCATGTAAAGTTCAAGTCATTCGCAACGACTGTTATTAAAATTCTATCGCATTTGATGAGGTCGTAAAAAACCTGATTTATTATGACCTCGCTAAACTTACCTGGCCTGCGTCCAAGATCCAAGATGTTGATTTGAAAGTAGTGCAGTTATTTCTGTCGTTTCGACTTGCAAGTTGTGAAGGATGTTTGTCAGGTGTTCAAATCCGTTTCAGAAGGCTTTTGACGATTCTCTCGACATTAAAAAGTGTAGTGGATCGCTTTTCAGAAGCCTTCGAAAAGTATGCTTAAGGTTTATTGCGTTCAGTTACCTCATGGATTCTGAAGTACAAATTGAAGTCGCATTAATAGTTGTTATTTTCAATTTTTCAATGGCTAGTCCCTAGGAAACTTTCTCAAGGCATTCTTTTTTTTTTTTTTTTGTGTCGCCGTAATCACAAAAAATTCTTCGTCTTCTTGAGTGAAAATGTGGTCAAAACCTCAAAACTTGTATTCATTATCGGGAAATCTAATGTTAGGATTAGATTCCCCGGGGAAATTTTTGATGAGAAAATCATAAGAGTGAGTTGTTCCGCAAGAAAAATATAATATACCGTACATGTACAGTATGTGAAACATATAACACATTTTCTGTAGAGAAAAAAGGTGACGCGCAGCTAGCTGCGCCTAATCAATCAGACCGCATAACCCGGATCAAGTGTAGCCGCACTAACTTTGGTACAGCTCTGTCAGTTACTTGGTCTCATGTAACGAACCGGGACCTAGCGGGGCCCGATTAATTAACCAAATGACTGCCTTTTTTCCTTCTCGCTCTTTCCTCGCACACGGAAGAGTGGAAGAAGGAAGACAAGAAGGAAGGGGATCGACAGAACGAAGAAAGGAAGAAACGATTCAATCCGGCGCGACCCCGTGAGAAAATCCGTGCCGCGCGGACAACGACTGCCGTGGTGCCGACAGCACCGACGGCGCCCACTGCTGCATACAACGAAGCGATAGATAGGGCTCCCTGGCGAGAGAGAGAGAGAAACGGCGGACTTCGTGTTGATTTTATGAACTCTAGTTCTTATTTTTTTTAAATTCCTGATGGACGGAAGGACGGTGCTTCCTCAGTCCGTCCTGTGCTCCGCCCTTTTTCTTCTTTGCCGTTTTATTTGTCAGAAATTTTTTTCTCTTATTTTCTTCTTGGATTCCACCCCACATATCGGATTTACTCACGACTAAAGGCCGCACATTTCCCACCGAGATGCTGGTGCGGCCTATAGGCCTGTATAGTTGTGAAGAAAAAAAAGGTCGCGGTCGATTCGAAGGAGCTGGAGACGTGAGATTTTGTCGTTTACTTGCGCTAATGGGGTTAAAAACATGAAAATAGGTGTCGGAATTTTTAAATGAAAATAGTGTCATAAACCATATACAGTATTCATTCGTAATTAAGCATCAGATCCAGAAAGTCAGATCATGACGAACTGTAATTTATCTAGTTGGCATAGAAAGTAAGAACTGCATAATAAGTGCCACGCAAAAATTCTCTTTAAAAAGTCGCCCAAAAATTGGCGATTATCTTGAGGTAGATCGCTAATGAAGGCGACAAGTATTCGAGTTTACTTCTAAAAACTATTTCTGCTTTCTTCTGAAAAACTTAATTGTTCGTTACGGAACCTTCACAAGTTTTTCGTTTGGATCGAGTCAACCAATGGACGGCTTATAATAAAGTTACGTTCTATGCTATGAGCTTGTGACAGGTCTACGTTCAGTAAAATAAGCTTATTTCACCGAAATTTTCTCTACGAAGCTCTTAATTTTTTTTTTTGCCTGAACAGTTTCTTTCTTGTTTGACAGGTAATCGCAAACACTTGACATTTTGAGTCAGATTGTATCCACCCTGGTTCCACCGGGTGTAGCAGCGTTTCACTTTTTTGGAAGGAATGTTTCACCGGTTTAGGAGTAAAATTAGCAGGAGTTGATGAAACTAAGTAATCATTTGCTTGCGGCTTAAATAAAAAAAAACCGATGTAATCTGTGGACATAATTTTTGATTGCTCAATCCATAACCTGTCATCAACAGTATTTTTAACTTTATCGAGCTTAAATGATGATAGGCGCTCATTCTCGGAAAGTATATGTGAGGCGGAAAAGAAATCATTCTCTTGTCATTGAAACAGATTTTTATAAGGTCCAGTTAGTTTCATTTTCCAACGACAGTACTTGATTGCAGAGCATGCAGAAAACTGAAAGATGTTATTCCTTCGTAGCCTTATCCAAACTATTTATAGGTAGATCGCCAGCAAATCGAAAAAGGGCAAGTTGCAGCCAATTGTGCGATTGAGCAGTTGAAAATGAATCACGCAAGGACGATATTTTCCGAGAGAAATTTATATGAATGAAAACGATGATGTAGAAATGTGGAAACATAATATGTACGGAGGTATTCGAAGTCTTATCGACGAAAAAAAAACAGTAGATCGGCAGCCAGATTTATAGAATAAGTTATATTGATAATATTGTAACGATCGTTGTATTTTTGGGAGTGATAATGGATCACCCGAAGAACTCCGATTTTCGGGGCTAACGACTGGATCCTTCGTACGAAACAGAAAAAAAAAAAATCGCGGATCAAGAAATACAGTATTCAAGAAAATTTCATGGATTAAGAAATTCGTTATAAATTTCCGTACTGAATGAAAAATTTTCTGAAGAAAAGGAGGCTATTCATGTAAAAATTGCGGCCTTGTAGTTGAAGATTTTAAGAATAATCGTGGTATTTTTGTTTTAAAAAAAAATCAAGTAAAGCAGTGGATGTCGGGCATTCAATACAAATCGAGTTGAAGGTTGTCAAATTTTTTTTTATCGCGAAATTGGACTGACGGAGAAATTTGAGGGATTCGGAGGTGACTAACCGGAGAACATTTTGACTTGACTCTTGTCAATCCAAAGCGACATGTCCTCTCTGTCGCGTCTGTTCTTGCGCTTGTGTCGCCGTCGTCGGTACTCGACAGCCTGGGGGGCATCGTTGGGCACTGGTGTCGGGGTCGAGGCCATGTTCATCACCGTGGCCATGGACGTTGCCGTGGTCACAGTGATATTCCCGATGGCTGTGGCGTTCTCCGCGGCGGCCAGGGCAAAGGCTGCAGTTGCGGCGAAGGCGGCCAAGAGACTCGCAGCCGTCGGCGTGACGAACGCTGCAGCAGCGGCAGCCGAGCCGATGTCGAGCCAACGACACGCCGACACCGACACGTCCAGAATCGACCTCGTCACGGACACGAGGAACCAGCACTTCACTAACCACGGCAGCGGACGCGACCCAGCTCTCACAGACATTGCTCATGGCGTGCGAACGTTCGCCGGGCTAGCTGGATTTGCCTCTTTATTTTTGTTGTTGTTTACCAATCGATCGTTTTTTTTTTCCCCCTGCTGCTTGGTTTCCGTTTCCCGTCGCGACTGAAGAGACCTTTTGTCACTTCATGCTCAAATTTTGTTCCTGCGGGAGAAGAGGGACGAGTATGATTAAGAGTTGGATGGTCG